TTTCTACTTAGATAAAAATACATGCAATCTATGAATATGTACAAAATCAAAGTCAGGATGTCTATATTGTATTTTAAACATGCAAATCTAACAATGCCTAAGTAATATGATGAGAGTCAGCAGAAGCTTACCTTACAGCTGAAAAAGGTCCTGTGAACTGGAGCCTGGTTCTGACTGCTTGTAATGTTTTGATCATCTTCTTCACGTGCTCAGCAGATGGGACAACCTTTAACTTGGGTTATGAATGGTGTATGGATGATTTGGTCAAGAAACACTTGAGGGAAATTGGAGTTTGAATGCAAGAATAAAAAACTAGCAGGTTTTTTATATGTGTTTGCAGTTTCGGATTTCTGGAATTTTTAGCAAGCTTTCAAAGCTTTTCCCTTCAATTTCTTCTCACCCCCCCCCCTTTTTCACAGTTGCCAATGAAGTTCAATTTATAGGCAAGAACTTTGTAGCTTGGAGAAGTCAAAAGTACCAACATCATGCTAGCGTGCTGGCTTGTTCTTGAAGCAAGATAAACAAGTATGGTGGTTAGAAGCTTTTAGCCGTGCCTAAGCTGGATTTGTAAGCATGGATTAAGGAAAAGTACCCTCAGAGGCAAAAGCAAAGATGGGCCCAACATAAACTTGTACAAAAGTTTGCTTTTCAAGGACAACAATGGTACTTCTATCTCACACGTGGGGAAATCCTTTGGATAAAAACTCAAAAGTGATTTTGAGCATTAAATGATGATGAGATTTATCAAATCAGAAATCCCACTCCATGAGATTATGCATCATAGCTTAATTCTGGACCAGAAGTTCAGCATCAACGCAACTTAGAACAAACATCCAACTTCTGATCCTTGAATCTCTTTGCTCCAGCATGTTCTGAGCGAGTTCTCAGACTTTCCAGAAAGCTTAAGACATGATTTTTAAGCCCTCTTTGAATTACTCTTGCAACTTCTGACTGAACCCACGTGAGAACTGGCCCAGAAGTTATGGACAATTTCTGACTTGAAAATGCTCAGAATTTACTAAGTGTTTAAGTTTCAGGGACGTGACTTTAAGATGTATAACTTGAAATCCCAGCATTTCTAGAAGAAGTTCTATTCTGAAATATTTTAGGTCTTATTGAGATCTAAAGCTCTTGTGTTAGAAGTTCTTCCAGAATCAGCTTGCATCATGGTGAAAATCTGGCCAGAAGTTCTGAGCTTGTCATATTTCTTAAACACTTAGAAAAATTCTAAGTATTTAGAATTTTGACTTTATCAACATGAATCTTGACTTATGATTTTCTTGATGAATAAGTTTCATATTTTGACATGTTTTAATGAATTGTGATCTTTGACACTTAATTTTGACCAAAAAGTAAAAGTTTGACTTTTCAGTATACAGTTGACTTTTGATCAGTTGACTAAAGATCAACTATCAATCCAATTGATCTTGAGCAATGTTTTGAGTCATGTCATTAGGTCAAAATGATACAATTGAACTCTTGAGATCATGCCTCAAACCAATTAACCATTTGCTAGGTCAAAAATCAGAAATTGCTCTTTCTCAATCAAAACCCTAATTTTGACCATTTTGCCCTTTTGATGATTTGATCAAATTTCTTGAGGAATTGTGGTCCAAACTTGATCAAATGATACATATGAGTTTATAATTTTGATATGGATAAAAAATTATGAATTTTGACTGTAAATTGGCCACAATTGACTTTTTCCCCAATATAGTTGATTTTAGGTCAACTGCTCAATTGATTGAGCAAAAATGTGATCCAAGGCTTGAAACTTGACATGAGTAATATTGGGGGTCCACAATGATCCATGAAAGTTATACGAGGCATTAAAAGTTCAATAATCCTTGTGCAATCTCAAACCCTAATTTCAGTTATCAGTGCTTAAGGAGGTGTCGTGAGCTGATCAACCCTTGTGCGGTCTTGAACAAAATGAGATCTTGTGAGAAAATATTTGATAAATGAGAGGGAAAATTTTGGGGTACAACAACTGGAAATTTGATTTATACTAAAATTTTCAGTAGTTCATTTATTTAAGTTTTTTAACAGTCGAGATTTTGCCGACATCTTTGGAGGGTTCTGATTGCACCGACATCTTTGTGTGGTCTAGAATGCATCTCCATTTGTATAAATAAGGGCATGTGTTATAGAGAAATACATCTTAAAAAATTCTTCTTCCTCAGTTTCTGATTAAGGCAGAAGTGTATTACAATGGATACAACCCTGCTGTTGAATTCAAGCTTCCGAATGGCAGCACATCCCTTGCCACCTTGAAAGAAACGTTGAATGCATTGTTGTCTAATTATGATAACAGAAGGGTGACAAAGGTCGAGTTTTGGGACCATTATTTTGATACAAATGGTTGGGTGAAATACAACTTGATTGAGTTGAAGACCGATGAATATGTGAAGGTCGTATGGAAATCATTTTGCCGTAGAATAACTAAAGGTCAGATTGAGTTGGATGAAGAGATCCAAAGATCCGTTGACGACATAATCAAGATGCTGAAACGTCCAGAATCATCTCGTAGTGCCTATGTTTTCATGTTTAGTTATTTTTAGTTTTTGTTTGTTGTACTTTTTTATGTTATGTTCATCATCGATTCGAAACATGTAATCATCAAAATATCATGTAATAAATAAGAAGTTTATGTGTCACAAAACATACATATAATACAACCAAATAAAACAGATCTACATAGGCCCTCCACGGGCTACGTCGGCTAACCTATCTAAATCTGTATAAATCTCACCATTAGGGTTTACCAAACTCACGAGGTTATCTAAATGAACTACAATAAACTATAGGCGAGTGTCCTGATCACATGCAGGTGGTGGAGGTGGTGGTAGCTCGAAAGAAACCCTAGCACATGAATGCCCTAGAACATCAGATTCTACAGTCGGTGGTATGAACCGAGAGTGTGATACATTGTTATACCACTCCAAGTGTCCATCCTCGCACTATGAAGGATGTTGAACCACAACTGATCTCTCCTTGATCTTACAGGCAGAGCTGATGATGTGACTCCGAAACCATCTGTCAATGCCACTAGCTAGAGCCTCGGGAACTGGATGATGGATGCCATAGATCAAACCATACTTTCGTATACACTTCTCAGGAAAGTGTCTAGTCACATGGTTCTCCCACCTAATATGCCCTTAATACAAAGAAGCTTCGTCAAATGCACGATGAGGTTGGTGAGATATATATGGTGTCCAAACGACATCCTCTAGGGTCAGAGCGTCAAGCCTCCTCCGGTACTCTATCAAACCTCCTGGAAAGGCTTACTTGGTATTCTATCTCCTCGCACATGGTATAGTAGTCGAGATATGTTGGATCTTCCGGTCAAATATGTAGGGGAAGTGCTCGTATATCCAACACTACATAAATAAAAGCAATCAAATAAATACACCTAAATAAATAATAAAACCATCAAATAAATTATAGTATACCTATAAAAGGAGCACTGAGCGAACTCCAGCAGTTGAAAATATCTAACAATACTACTGACCTCCTCAAGCATGTCACCTTCTGAGAAGTTCTTCAACTTTAAATTATGGGAAGCGACCTTTAGCATAAAATAAAATATTATACATCAACCAATTAAACTATGTATATACCTTGCCATGCCATATCCTGTAAGCGACATGGTCAAAAAAACCTGTGAGCACAGACCAGTCTGAAGGTCCTCCTAAAAAGGCTCCATCAGTGTAAACTGATAGCTTCGTAGATGCACGAGTCATGATGTTTGTATCAGTGGGGAACACCTCGTCAACGCGCTCAACAACAACCTCCTGAACTTGCTCTACAACCTACTCGACAACTGTCTCCACAATCTTCTTAGGAATCAGCTCCACAACAGGCACAACCTCCTTAAAAATCGGTTCAATCACAGACACATCCACATGAGAAGGAGCATGTATCTTTTCGGCAATAGAAACTCTAACTTCTCGACAGAGGGGTGCACGGAACTGCGCTTGCTGCTCATCCATCAGTTTCCAATGAGAACCGGTCGAAGGACGTCGTCCAGCCCGTAGCTCGAAAGCTCGTGCCTCGTTAGCCCGGGCATGAGCTTCCACTCTCGGCCACCTTGCCCGCAATAGAACCATCTTTGCCCGTCAGTGGTCCTCACTGAAACAATGAACAAAAGGAGAAAAAATTAGGAAAATATGAACTACTGGAAATTTATGGTTTTTTCAAAAAAAATTGAACTATCGAAAATATTAAAATTTCTGTTACATGTTGCAAAGCTCCAGAAATTTCAAAATTTCTGATACAAAAGATAAATACTAAATCCGAAAATTTCAAAATTTCCGGTTAAAATATACCAAATATTTTGAAATTTCCGTTACAAAATACCGGAAATTATATAAATTTACCATAAATTCCTTACTATTTCACAAAATTTCCGATATCACCAAGTGAATTTGAGGGGTGTCATGTATAACTAGGGGAGGCATGTGAAATCCTCCTAGAATTGTTATCACAAAGCCCAATCCACATCTTTGGGAAGAGGCCCATCATTCACTAAAGACTCCCTTGTGAAATTGTATCACAAACCAGTTGGAATTCGCACTGATATCAACTCGCCGGAGAAAGCAAAATCAGGCGGAGCGTCGTCGCAGGAAGGAAGAGTGAGAAGGTTCGTTATTTTCCGGCTTTAACTTTTCCGTTTCAGCTTCCACTCTCGTTGTAGTTACTTACATCACAGCAGATTAATTTGATGTTTAGGCTTTTGATTTCAATATTTACTTAGCCTTTATTGACCCATTTCATGGGAAATTGATTTAGTTTGAAGTTGATGTTTCAACTATTTAGCTTTCTCTTCCATTTTCGTGATGATATGAACCGATTTGATGCCATATTTATAATCTGCAATGTTTTAGATTAATGGGCATGAACTGTTTGTTTGTTTGTTTCAGTGAAAAACTGGTTTCTGTTCGCATGTTAAATCTGCATCTTTTCTCAACAATTAGTTTCCATTTTTATTGAACAAAGACATGAGGATTACCACCTTTTCGAGATATATTCGTAGTCTCTCTCGGCTTAGAGCATTTGTGCCTTTGCAATCTCGAGCCTTCCAGCCTGATGTTGCTACTAGAGATTCTAATGCCAGGCCAATTAAGTACAAAATTCCTCAATCTTATGACCCGTATGGCCCTAGACCTCCACCTTCCGATAAAATTGTGCAGCTTGCAGAACGTATCGCGGCACTATCGGAAGAAGAACGCGGTCATATTATGCCTACTTTGTCGGAAAGATTAAATCTTCCTAAGTTGGAGCCGATTTCAACTGAAGGCATGGACTTGGGTTCAGAAGGCGGTGCCGGGCCAAAGGTTGAGGAGAAAAAGGCAGAGAAAACAGCTTTTGATGTCAAGTTAGAGAAATTTGATGCTGCTGCGAAGATCAAGGTGATTAAGGAGGTAAGAGCATTTACTAACCTGGGATTGAAAGAAGCTAAAGATCTTGTTGAAAAGGTACCAACTGTTCTTAAACAAGGAGTCACAAAAGAAGAGGCAAATACTATTATAGAAAAAATAAAAGCTGCCGGAGGAGTTGCAGTTATGGAGTAGATTTTTCAGTTGTTGGATTATTGGCCTCGATCACAAATTTTTCTTGATGGCCAATGTGTTTTTAACTTACCATATGCATGGTGAATTAATGGTTAGAAGATATTTCTGAAGAGATGAAGTGGATTTAATGTTTGAGATCTGATTGTTGGATAATTTGTTTGAATAAAAAAAATTATTAGCTTGAGTTTTTCTCGGTAATCATGCTCTCACATGTAACTGTTGTTTTAGTTTGACATTTGTAATAGTCATATCTATTTTTACAAATGAAAATTTTCTGGAACTATAGGGAAAATTGTGAATGGAATTTTCATTTAGTTATCTGAGATTCTTGTGGTTGATATACCAAACCTTTTGGTCTTCTATAGATTGATGATCTACTTATCTAGAATTGTGTCTTTATTTTATATTATACAGTCTTTTAATCTAGGCTTCTTCATTCTTCTGGTTATCAATGTTTTTTTTTTTTTCTATAGTTCTTTCAAAATGTTTCAGTATGGCTTTTTAACTTGGGGCATGTAGATTTTGAGTTGTCTGAGTTGGAATTTGAGTGTCACCTTATGAATTTGTTGGTTGCTGAATACTGAAGGATGACTTGAAATTTAATTATCATATAGAGTACAATCTTCTTTTATCAATGGTTATGTACTAATCAACATTTCCTTTCTTTTCTGCTGTCTTGTGTCTGTCAAATGGGAAATCGTTACACTTGCGATATGTGTTCGTTGAAATCTCCACCTGTAATTGGAAAGAAAAGAAAATAGGTTTACAGTGAAATAAATGGAGAAAGGAGACTTACTGGTGGAGATTGGAAAACATGTGAAACATTTTGAGAGGATCCATTCCATTGTCAAATGGTTAGGCTAAATGAACATTTGTTGTTTGTGAAAATGTTCCTAGAAAATCTTATAAGAAACATTTTTCCATCATAAAGACAAGATAGAATATCACACCTCACTATTAAGGTGTCATGATGGTGCAAAGAGGGGTCGCACCACTTATAAATGACATTTTAGGAAGTTCCTAAGGTAAGGTAACGTGGGTATCCAAATGCACTGACCATGCTACAAACCTTGAAGAATCCAACATATGTTGGGAGACCTAAAATCTATGATATCGCAATGTGTAGATGTTCCTAGAAGGTGCCATATGGTTTCTTGATAATGCATGTTTGAGGCACATGATTGAGGACAAGTCCAAGTTCTAATAACAAAGATAAAATACTGAATATATCCATCCACCGGCACCATTTAAAGAGTTTTTTACATAGAGTTTTAACTACAACTCTTTAAGTATAAAATACTGAATATATCCATCCACTAACACCATTTAAAGAGTTTTATACGTAAAGAATTTTAAGTACAATTCTTTAAGTATAAGACAGCATATAAAACTACTTTTAACTTCATTAGTTGCATAATAAAAAATGATAACAATAAACAAGAGGTGTTTAAGGGTATATCAATGCTAATTGTCTATACTTTGAATCTTGATAATGTTTCACTAATAAGGACTAATTGTTCTCGAATAGACGTGTAGCCCGTGTACATTTTAACAAAGTTACTATGAGACTTTTAGTACTTCTCTACATTTATACTTCTTTGGTCCCTCTAAAATGAAATATCTAAAAGAACTATTAGTGTTTTCGTAAGGGTGAATTATTAATATATATTTCTATCAAGTAAAGATGAAATACTTTTATTTTTTGTCAAGTTTATCAAAATCCTTTCCAAAATTTAAAAGGTTTCAAAATTACATCTATAAGAAGTGACCAACCAGAAAGGTGATTTCAAAATCATCTATTTTGAGAACTTCAATTGTGAAAATGGAATTAATCTAATTTTTTGACAATTATTTTTAATTGTATTTTCTATTTAATAGTTTGTGGTTTTGTTGCTTTTTAATCAGGATACAAAGCATTGTTGAAAAGCTCGATCCATTTTTAAACAATTCTAACTAAAAAAAGTTATGGCGTTTTCATAGTAAAAGTTATAATACCAAGAGTGGTGCGAGATTTTGACATAAGAGTTGGGAGAAAATAATAACTCTAAAGAAATATGCAAATTATCACTAAGTTTCATGAAGCCATATTCCTTGTGAGATATTGGAAAAAACACATTGCGCCAAGCTACACCCGATGCGACGTGTAATGGAAATTCAACAAGATCCATGTTAGCAAAAGCAAAGGAATGCGTGCATCTATTAATAGGAAAGAGGGTTACATACAGAGAAGTTGGTGCAACTATTTTGTTAAAAATAAATCATAACTATTAGAAAATAATTAAATTTTTAAACGTAATTACTATATAAAAATTGTTAGAATAATAATGCAAGTATGAATAAATGGGAAAATAGTCTTATATTATATAAGAATGTAAAGACTTAAATATATATAAGTGAGAGAACTCACTCACCTCTCTTCTTGAGTAACGAAACACTTCTTCTTGGACATTTCAATATAAATAAGTCGGTTCTTTTAAATGTCTAGACTTAAATATATTTAGACTATGTACAATAGTTCATGGATTCAACACCCTCCTTTTTCATTTTTTTACACTCCACACTATCTTCTCTCTCTTCCACATAATAATTCAACACTCATTTAATTTTTATTCACTACAATAATTTTGTTTAATAAAATTCAACACTCTATCTCACCACTTTTATTTCATGTTCTTATTTTCTTTTATATTTTTGTTTTTGTGATTATATATTAATTATTCTTATTGATTGAAATTAAATTAAAATAATTAAGAGTTAAATAATTTATTTTAATTTTTTTCTAATTTAATAATTTATTTTTATTTTATTTTTCTAATTTTATATTTTAATAGAATTTTGAGTGTTAAAAGGATTACTGTTGGGATCTATTTCATTAAAAAGATGGTTAGAGCTACAAACAATATTTTATTGAAGGTTAAATAGAAAAGTTAAAGAGAAAAAACTCGATTTTACTTTCTGTGTCTAAATCTAATGAACCAAATCTCTATTTATAGAGAGAAAAATGATGAACTTTGGTGAAAATAAAAATAACTAAAAAATTGTTTTACTATAAAATAATTGATTTTAAATAATTAATGTGAGATAAAAATTTAAGCAATTACATGTTGAATATTTTCAACACTAATTAATCTATATCATTTTCAACACCTCATTACAATCATTCAACTATTGAATAATTTTTTAACATCTCTATTGTAAAACTATGTACAATAGATTACATTTTTGACACCCTCCTTTATTTTATTCACTTCAATAACTTTGTTTGATAAAATTTAAAACTCTATCCCACCACTTTTATTTCATATTCTTATTTTCTTTTATATTTTTGTTTTTATGATTTTATATTAATTATCGATTGAAATTAAATTAAAATGATTAAGAGTTAAATAATTTATTTTAATGTTTCTAGTTTAATAACTTATTTAATTTTTTTTCTAATTTTATATTCTTAATTAATTTTTTCCTTGCAAGTAACAAATGCGAGATATAGGATAATTATTATTAAATAAATAAAAGTGGATAAAACAAGAATTTATTTGATGTTAAATAGAAAAATTAGAGAGAAAAAAGTGAATTTTTTTGTGTGTCCAAATCAAATGAACCAAATCTTTATTTATACAAAAAATAATAATGAATTTCGATGAAAAAAAAAGATTGGTTTACTATAAAATAATTGACTCCAAATAATTAAAATGAGTATAAAATTTAAACAATCACAATAACCAATAAGATTTTGCAAAATATTATATGTGGTATTCACTCCATCCTATGTTGAATATTTTCAACATCAATTAAATTATTGAATAATTTTTTCAACACCTCCATTGTAAGTGGTCTAAGTGGAAGAATCCACTTACCTACCATCTTAAAGTTTTAGATAGAAAAGTAATGTGTCTCTTATAAAAGTGGTTAATCCTACACTATATATCAATACTTTTAGTAATTTTCTCCGATAAAAATATGCAAAGAATTTGAAAGGGAGCTAACAATCCTTCTCATTAGATTTTCTAAACATTTTTACATACATTATTCTCTTTTAAAGATTCACTCTGCACGACATTAGATTTTCTAAATATTTTTACATACATTATTATTTTTTAAAGATTCACTATGCACACGACACCACCTTACTATTTACATCACTAGTGCCTTTAGAAATTATAATAATCCTTATGAAAATGATCTTATTAAATTATATTACTTGACCACCATTTGATTCGCTTGTCAAATTTCACTAAGTAATGATGATTAGTGAGATTAACTAGCCTAAAAACTTATAGAATAATATTATTAACCCATCATGCTACACTCTTAATAAAATCTTAATAGAGGTAAATGTGTGATTAATTATTTAAAAGAAGGAAATCAATCGTTGCCACTTTTAGATTTTTGGGTGTAAATATTTTGTTTTAAATAATGAAAAGAATAATCTTAAAAAATTTAATAGTGAGGTTGATAAAATAATATTTCTTGAATATATTTCCCCAAGTAAGTCATATAAAACTTTCATTAGATGTATGTTGGTTGATTTAGAGGAGTGTGTATATGTTGCATTTGATGAATCTTGATCTAGGTCATCTGTAATAGCCTAGTAAGAGACAAGGACCAAATGTTCAGGATAAACAAAGGATATTTTTTAATTTCTCTCAGATATCTCTAGCGCACCGTGTGAAAATATGAATATATCATTATCTTTTAAGGATATATCTTTGGATGCACTAAATGCATATTGGTTAATTTGTTTTCGAGTCAACCCTAAATTTGTGCCAATTTTTATTCTGGAGATGTATCTTTGTAAAAATTATGAAGATGTATTTCTGGAGTGTACTGAAGTAAAAGTAAAAAAATAGAAGCAAAAAGCAGCATGTTGACAAAATAAAATTACCATTGATATCATAAATCAATAATATGTAATGGATTTTAACATAGATCAAATATTACATTTCAATATCCATGTGGACGTTGCAACATCTTGATAATATCATCGATCGATTTTGAAA